AAAGGTTAGTGTCAAGTTAGCTCTGAAGCTCAGGGTGACTGCTAAGGGCAAGTCAAAGAATAAAAGATAAGAGAAAAAATCCCAAATTTAAATTGGTAAATTTAAAAATAAATTTGAAAATGTTATAAAAATAGGCAAGAAGAGAAATTGTAAGGAAACTCTGTATCCATTGTGAATTAGAAACCCTACCCCAGTTAAGTTTGTAATATATCTGTACAGAAATAGAGAGAAAAAAGCCTGTTTACTGCAGTGTTTCTTTGCACAGCTCTATAAATTCATTAACTTCCCATTATGACTTCTTCAGTCAACTCTAACATCGATCTATGTAATTGATTTGCAATTTTACTTGCAATCAACTGTTCTTTTTTATCCTCTATCCTTTTTCTAGTCTGTTCTCTTTTCACATTTCTTAATAAAAAAATTGTTTTTCTCTTTAATTTTAGTTTCATTGATACAATCCTTAAAATATTATGGTGTTATTGTTCTTGAAGAAGCTTTCCATGGAGAAATCTGAGAAAGAAAGTACATTTTCTGTTACTAGTTATCTGTCTAGACATTCTTCTTTCCTTCTTTATATCTCAAATTTCAAGCAGCTTCATCCCTGGTTTGAAAAAGCAATTTTGTGATTACATAATCAGATGAAGTTTGTCGGATCCAATCAGAACCAGGCTTCTGGATGAAAAACAGATTCTCTGAACATCCCAGCCAAAAAACAGAACTCATCTATTCTAGAGGCCTGGGAAACTGGCTCTACCAGTTAGATTTTGTCTTATCATCGCCAGCGCAGGCAGCCGCTGGGACACTGCATTTTTTCTGCTGTCTTGATTTAGGAATTAAGTTTAATTTAAGAATTAAGTTATCTCCGTCTTCGCTCATCTGGTCGAGTCTGGTTGGAGCCAAAGAAAGCTGGGTGTTTAGATTTTGGTGGGTTTTTAACCACTGGATCAATGGAGGTGTTTTCATTGGTCCTTTTGAGCACCCATCACCTCTCTCCCCCCCCCTCCCCCCACCCCTTTACTATAAAACACATACATGCACGAACACACCCCACACATGCACACACACACACTCCAACTTTCTTTCATACTCATAAAATACACTGATTTCACCCATCAATGATTCAGCTTCTCTTGAAGTATGGAGAAAAAGTGCTCTTCATGCCATTTTTACTTTGGTATACATTTCCTGTGTAATCTCATTACTTCTTTGACAACCTTTCAATAAGAGATCTAATATACCACACATATTGACTACTGAATCACTTAAATAAATAAGTAGGTATGAATTATTCTGAAGATGATTGGGGTCCTGTATAATGACTGTACTCTCAGTTAATTAGCTAAGGTTAATCCACAACCCAAAGTAAACATCTGTCTCTGTAGGAGATAAAATGGTTATAAATTTACAATAAAGGGAATTGCAATCATGGCATTATAGCAATTGCTTTGTTTAATAGCTGCCAATCAAATTAAGGCTATCACCCTCTTGGACATAGATGACTTCATGTGACCACCCACCTTCATTAAGTACTTGACTTAATTAAGGACAGCCTTAAATAAGTTTTTTTAAAAAAAGATGATAGCACTTATATTTCTTGAAATCATATCTTTATCAAGTATGCCATTTTTGAATAGAAATTTAAATGTAGTCATTGCCCATCATAGGATCATAAATCTGTTTTAATTCTGATGGATTTTATGATAGTCAACACAGAAGAAATTCCTTAGAAGAATGAGTTTTCCAAAGCAGAAGCAGTAGTAGTAGTAATAGTAGGGCTGATAAATTCCTATAGTATACTATCAGCTGATCATTGATCAGATTTACCATGCACGGTCTTCACACTAACTCAATCAGGCTGTATCAAGAGAAAATACTGGGATTTCACTGAAAGGCTTCATCAGTGAAAATGAATGATGAAGGCAATTCAGTAGGGAATCCTAGCTGACTTCAAGCAAATGGATTTGTGGTTATTGTAAACATTAGGCTTGCTGGCTACTACCACAAGGACTAGTTGATCTGGTGAGGCAGGGATGTGGTAGGGTATATGTGAGGCGCTGGCTGGAGAGAGAGAGAGAGAGGTTAGTTTGGGTTGTGAGGGGATTGGAGAGAGTCTAGCTTATTGGGCTCAGAATGGCACATGTAAGTTTGGGGATATAATGAGTATTATGAAACCTCTCTAAAGGTTGAAGATTTTATAGGGACTTATTAAATTTAATGTACTTGTAAGAGCATTGTAAATGTATGCATCTTTGGGAGATTAGAGATTGCATATTTTTATGATTTTTCTTATCCTCATATTGTAGGTGCTCCTAGTTTATGTATGGATTTAACTCATTTTCATACTTACATAATTATAGGAAAAAAACTCTATAAATTCTGAAATATTAAATATAATTATCCTATTATATTGATCATGATTATCCTGTTGCATTAAATATTTTTATTTAATTAGTCACTTTATTTTCCAGATAAATGGTGTGGATGTCCACAGTCGGGAACAGGCCATCAAACTCTTTTCACAGAATCGCTCCGACATCACACTACTGTTAGCCAGACCAATGCAGGTAAGCCTCGTCTTCTTACTTCACGTCTGCTTTCTTTTAATTTCCATTTCATTGAATACAGACATGCATCTGAATCAGTGGTTTGGTAAAAGGTGATTTCAAATTTCAGTCAATGAATTATAAATTTTAAGTCGTGATTCATTAACACCTGTTTTCGCTAGGCTGTTCCTTTTTCCTCCCTCTTCCACTTTCAAAGCCTCCCTCTCCCCACCCCTCTCCCCACTCCCTACATTCTGAAGATAGGCACAGAGGGAGGCAAGCTGTCATTTTGGTTTTAGTTTGAAATAAAATATATATAAGTATATAATAGTTTGCTCAAGTTTCCCTTTCTTCCTCTCCAGTATGCATACCATAAAATGATACCATGAGCTTCAAAGAAGAACTTGCTATCTGTAAATTTTCTGCATATTATTTTTGGCACCAAAGATGAAATCAAAAGAAACAATCTCTTGGATGTGAAAGTTTGGGTTTTAGATCAGAGCATTTTGGAGATGTTTTTCTTCAACTGCAGGGAAACTTTGAACTAATGAGGTTCAAGCAGCAAAGTTGGCTTCCATAGCATGTACAGAGAGAAGACCTTTCTTACTCTGATATACAACAAAACGACAAAAAAAAAAAAAAAAAAAAGATGATATGTCTGCTTAGATAAAGATGCCGTTGTCCGTGCAAAAATAACCCCCCCTCCTCCTTCTTCCAGTCCATCAAATGAAGCTTAAAAACTTGATTTTTTTCGTTGAAATTCCAAGCAGACACCAACTGCCTCCATATTTCAACGTATTGACAGGCGACGTCTGCCAAGATGGCGCTGAACACACTGCTCAATTTCTCAGTGTCAAAGGTGTAGTTGAAACCAAGTCAGGGTGAGCCAGTCAGACCAAGGGTTACTTTGATGATGAAGATAGAGAGTGGAAAATTAGGGTTGGGATTTATAGACTGGCAATGAACTGAGGAAGCCTCCTTAAACGTTGACCTTGTGGTTTTGCTACATGGAGGAAAAGGTTGCAACGAAGATGCTGTGGAAGCAAAGATATGTTAGACATTAAATTCATGGCTCGTTTTCTGCATTACAGCGTCTCAATATTAGCACAACTTGAATTACAAAAGAAAATTTGAAAAGTGGATAGTTTACAAAAAAAGGTTGACCATTTAAAACTGTTACAATTTAAAAATGTTGTGCATCTCTTGTTTATCTCCATTTTTACATTTGGTCAGACATATGTGTTCTTTGATCAACTGGCTATCAGCAGGCACTAAAAGCATTACTTCCCCCTGAAAATATTTTATGAAGAAGTTAAACATGTATCACAAGAGACAAGTTTCACCCTGCATGAGTAAATTCTGAAAGGTCATCATCAGTCCACCATATTGGATTTGACCACAGGGTGGAGTTTTGTCCAGTTGATGTTTAAGCTGATGTGCAGTGGCTAAGAGTTTGTAATGAGAAATTGTGTTTCATGTTGCTGCATGTTATTATTGAACAAAATCCATAAATGTTTACATCCCGTATTTTGTTATATCAATGAAAAATCAATGCTAACAGAGTATATCTGTGTAAGTTTTTGATTACATGTCTCAGTGCCCTCAAAGATATGTAAAAATTTTGCCTTGAGATGTCTCACTTAACCATCGAATCTGTAGGAAAATCCGAGCAGAATCCAAAATGTCAAGGAGTTCAGGAAGGGAATATTTGCTAGTTTGCTTAACCCTTAGCCTCTGTGCACATAAGTGAAAGCCATTTTACCACCCCTTCCCAGAAAAAAGTGAAGTCAAGCCCCTTTCTATAGAGATTGATGTCCTTGCCTGTTCATTTGTCAACACAGAGGGATGTAAGGGTGACCAGTTTCTGATGGGTTGAACTACCATTACCCTTTCCAGCCCCTTTGATGTGTGTGGGGGCCATCAGTGCAAGGTGTGGTCCTCCCTGCTGAGAAAATGTCACACCCTGCAATAAAATAGCAAGGCTTTCTTGTCATCTGCTGATGTCTGTCCCAAACACAGGGCCTTGTCATAAAAGCTGAAGACCCCTCAGTGTATTATCAGAGGAATGCATATTTAGGTCCTGGTGTGATTTATAAGAGCCCTGTTCACAGGACTAGGATTTGAAAGTTTGTCTTGTTTTTACAAATTGCTGGGGTGAACACTTGAGATGAAAGCCAAGATTGATCAGGGTGAGAAAACGGGCTCACAGGGGGACGGAATGTTTACAAATTAGGGTAAATTTTTTCTCAGATCACAAGCAAGATCAAAGCCTTGGTTGGCACTTCTGTTTGAGAGGAAGGTCTGCGTGTGTGAAAGCAGAGACCACTGGCCCATCATCAGTGATATATGATGGAGAGATGATGACAGACTTGACTGTCTGAATTTCCGTAAAAAAACTCTACAGCTTTTGTTTGGGGGGGGGACCCTTGTTTGAAGATTTTCAAAACAGCTCCAGTGTGTGTGCCCCTTGTTTATTTGCATCCTGAGCATATTTAGAGAGCTTACTACATTTTTCCATATAACGTGAAATCAATACATTTGAAGATAAAAAATCTTGATATTGTATTACAAGCCCCCTGGTATGATAACCCTAAGGAATAAAAACACAATATACTTCAGAATGATAGACAGCTCATTGTTTCCAAGTTTGCTTAAAAATATATCAGATTCACATTTAATCTGTTAATGTTACAGATGGATGACGGGTTCATGGAGGAGCAACACATGATGCTGGATGACTTTAATATGTCCATGCTGGAAGCTAACCACCATCAAAATATGGAGTTTACCTCGGCAATGTTGGGACAGGTAAGTCGATCTGGATGGCTCTAGAGATTTGTCACCCTTTAAGCATAAGTTGTAAACTGATGTCAGTGACTTTGTCTGCACCTCTCCCCCCCCTCTCAATGGACAAAAGAAAGCATGCAAAGTTTCATAAAAATTAAGCTCAGGTCAGTTTTTGTTATCTGACTTTGAAGAGCAGGTATGTTCAACTATTGTCTCCCTTGAGATCCCTTAACACTGAAGCTTTCTCAAGATTCCATGCTAAGATATCATCACGTAGGGCATACAGCTCATTTCAGTTTGCACCTTCTGATTGCAATTTGAAAGGCATTTCCAAACCATAAGTTTCAATATTTTGAGAAATAATGAAGCGCCAGAGATGCAACCTCCCAGGCGTGTTGCATCAACATGAGGGTTCCATAAAGACGAGCATTCCAACTTGTTGCAAACCAGGTTCCGATATGTAAATGTTTGTGCGCATCTTTATCTGCTGTGCTCTCAGTCTGGGCAAAATAAAGTACAGAGAACACACATTTCCACCTCTTTTCCAAACAAAAATAAATCACTCAATCCTTCTTGAAAGATAGCCCTATGTCCTGTCCAGTCAGTGGTCAGAAATTTGTGAAAGTTGAACCATCAGCCATTAACTACATTCCAGGGAAGGAATCCTGAGATAGTAAAACCATCCTGCTGTTTTCCAAGGAATCTGGGGAGTCCAGAGATGTACATAGTTTTAGTTAATGGGATAATTGAGTGCAAGGTTTCCCTGTATTTACCCATCTGTGAATGGTGGTACTTGTGGGGCAGAGATCAAAGACATATCTATTAAGTAATTGTTTCTTCCAATCTGGGCTAATTGAATGGCTTAACTGAAACAAAATTTCCTGGAATGTTGGTCTGATTGCTCTACTGAAGAGGGATGCTGTCACTGAAGGCAGTGAGGGATAAACCATAAGTGGTGTCTGTTTCTTCTCCTCGCTTCTCTCTATCAAATTGTATCATAGTTACAGGAAAATACAAGGGGAATGTAAAAGAAAAAATAGAAGCGAATGCTTATTATCACATAATTTACTTCAGTTATTTATCACAAAAATGAAGATTGGAACATTTTTGACTTGATAATTGAAATTGATTGAAAAGGACAAGTATGGGCAATTAATAAGCCTTTTGTTAAGGTATGTAATAGTCAAAATAAATAGATAAACAGGAAGAGTTAGACCATCCACAACTATGAGTTGTCTGCTTTTTCAATTAGACTGTAATAAAATCCAAACACAAGTTCTCAATTTTTCAAGTGAACTTAGTGGCATTTCCATCCTAGCTGGTCTTGTTTATACTGTGCACACTGGAGCAGTGTGCTCTTACAGTGTACATGTCAGCCTCTCATCAACCAAAATTCTCAACCATGGCTTATATATGACTAATAGGGCCCTGCAGCAGGATAAAGTATCTTTAATTTTGATTATCCATACCCTCTAATGAATAGACAAAACAGTGGCCCAGAAATGTGCACCTACTTGGTGGTGGTGACCTGGAGTGTCTTGGCTGCATAGATAAAACAGATTCACAGCAGACAGGTGGAATAGTGCACTGGTAGTAGGAGCTGTGTATGTTTTCCCATGTGGCCCCTGCTTTTCCAAATAACACTAGATCAAAAAGAGGAGTTGTTTAGTTGGTGTCTTCCCAAATTACACCAGGAACAGTGAATTTGAATTACCTGTAGCTCATCCTTTATCAACTTGTACCTGTTTTTCATCTGGTCGGCATTTTGTTCCACGTAATAGCACAATTTCAGATGCTCCTGTACAAACAGTTCCAAATTGTTTGGGATGATGTTTAACAGACAGTTTTAGTCCTTTTCTGGGAAATTTTCTTGGAATTTCAGACTGAGAATAGGTGTAAATATTTTGATGTCTGACAGAAAGTTTGAACCCCTGTGCAGAACATTAAACTTACTGAATTGTGCCTGACAAATAAGTTTTCTATGGAAAGACTGCTTAATAAACAAACATGTCTAGTGGCAAATAAAATCTACCAAGTAAACTATTGCTTGTTTTTGTATTGTATATGTACACGTACCTATTACTTTACATAACAACCCTGCCTATAAAAAACACTGTCATTTCTGTGACTAAACCTTGTAACTAATCCAATCTTGTTGTTGTTACTGTAGCGTCACCATGACAATGACGAAGAGGGTGGGACCACAGACACTGCCACCACAGAGAATTCACAGAAACACGAAAAAGACAGTGGAGTTGGCCGCACTGATGAGAGCACAAGAAATGATGAGAGCTCAGAACAGGTGTGTTATCCAGCTCATTAATTGTGAAATGATTCAATTGATTGGTATTCATTGTCCATTTGTTTAGAAATTACAAATTTTGGGTGTTTTGTGTATGACTAATTTTAGTTTAGTTTAATTGATATGTGTTTTAAAAGTGAAATATGGAGACAGAATTGATTTATATCAATTTGAAGCAGTATGCAATTTAATAAATATTCCATGAATCTTGAAGTGCATTATCAGTTGGCATTGAACATGGTTTTGCAAATATTTAAGCACAATTTCCTCTTCTTACAGGAAATATTTGACAGTGAATGCATGTCTCCAGCAACAAAGACCAAGTTCAGAGGTGGACAGCTGGGCAATGGCGAGCTCCAGTACAGCAATGACAGCTTCACCTCCAATGACACTCACGACAATGATTTCCCAGCCAATGAAATCCCAGCTGAAGAGTGTGAAAAATTCAGAGAAGTGTTGGAGAATCGTTGCACACAAAATTCTCATCCAAACATGGCGTCCTCAGGTGCTCCTTTGACCTCAAATTCGCGCAAAGACTCACAGAGCAGTATTGAGCGTGAACTTGCCATCCTAAACCAAGAAATGGAGGAAATTCAGCTGGAGTGTCAGCAGATTGTCGCTGCCCATCTTCAACATCAACACAAAGTTCAGAACCAGATAAGAACACTGCAAACCTCAGAAATGTGTCGTAGTCCACGGCTGGTGCCTCGCATGGGCACGCGCATGGAGTCTTTGCGATACAACCAAAACACTTCAGAACAACAACAGTCAGATCCAGCCATTTGGATCAGACAAGACATTTCCTCTTCTCCAACACCAGTCAAAGTCAGTAATAAAGACACCAGTAAAAACGTTGAAAAAGAGAAAAAGATTGTTGAAGATTGTGAGAAAGACACTTCCAATTCAAGTGCCTATAACACAGGAGAAAGTTGCCGTAGCACACCTCTCACTCTGGAGCTCATGAAGGAAGAGGGGTTCCGGGGCTCCATGCTTAGTCTCTCTCACGCCCCACAAACTGTATCACAACCTCAGAGCGACTCTGAGAAAACTACTCAAACCACGCCTCAACACATGCCTAAGCCGGCTTCAGACAAAAGTAATAAAGGCAAAAGCCTTGCTCAAACCAAGAGTGCAACAAGTAGCAGTATTAGTGACGGTCAGCAGACGGCCATTGAGAATCGAGATGGACCTTCAATGAATGATTCTGAGTCCATGACTGATATCTATGCCAAATATTCAGATATTATGTACACAAACCATGCCCATCTGGAGCACACCATAGCTGTGCAACAGCGCCTTTTTGAGCAGAAAGTAGAAGAGCGCAATCGTTTGTTATCCTCGAACCAGTCAATCTCCCAAAACAGCCAAAATAGTGGGGAGAAAAATACCCAGAATGCACCAAGCTCTTCCCAGAGTGCTTCAGGAAGTAAGCGTGCTGAGACTCCAGTAACGAGTGACAATCAGATGGAATGGGTAGTCAAAAAGCGTGCTGATGGTTCACGATACATCACGCGCAGACCTGTGCGCAGCATGCGCTTGAAGGAACGTGCAAAGAAAATTACAGAGGAGCGATGTGGTATGACCACAGATGATGATGCCATGAGCGAAATGAAAGTTGGACGTTACTGGAACAAAGAGGAAAGGAGACGCCATCTTGCGCGGGCACGCGAGCACAAGCATAAGAAAGAAAGCATGATCAAACAGCGAATGGAGACTCTGAAAGAAGGCGAAGAGTGCAAACAAATGAACATAGTTGAACTGAGCCACAGAAAAATGATGCGCCACAAAGGGCGAAGGATGCTGGATGATTTTACAACTGTGCAAGAGATTTTAGTCCATGGAAGTAAAGTTACAGATGGTAAATCTTATAGTCCACTGCTTTCTGTAACAACTGTTTAATATTGTATGTAACTTTGTATTCTAGTCTACTTATTACATTATCCTGTGTTATAACAGGTGGGGAGGTGTTAACTATTTAATAGAACTGGTTTTAACTATACCTAAACATTAAGTCTATTGCTGGTCATTCACAGGGCAATGGTTTGTTCACACCAAGTTTTGGCTGCAGTAATTTGTACAAAAAATTGTGAGACAACTTTGAAAGGTATGCTAAAAAATGAGATTTTTTTACAGCTATTTAAGTGACATTAGCAATTTCATCACCAATTTTAAGAAGAGTCCAAAAATATTGTGTTACTATTGAATAGTTCTGCGTTTGATAATACAATAACACATAAATGAAGATTTGCTGTAAAACCAATTTAAATAATATTTCAACACCCTCAGTAACTAAACATATCTTGAATGCTACACATTTTTCCAAGATGATGTAATGACAAAATTTTTTTTAAAGATAGGGCTTATAGTCAACTGTTTCTGTGCGTGATAAAAAATTGGTATGGTTACTGTTAAAATTTGTAACCATGGTAATATGTTTAATCTGCTCAAATATGGTGGTAATCAAGGGGGGGGGGGGGTCATTTAACCAGACTATTTAAAGCTTGATAAATGTTAAGACAATCAGTTATTTTAAAAGACTACTGCATAATGGAGAAAGGGGTTGGAAAGGGAGAAGAAAATGAAGAGGTTCCATTTCCAAGCGTAATTTTACTCAAGTGACTGCTCCATCTGCTTCAAGTATGTACACATACTTGCTATTAAAGTTTTAAGTGTGTGTTTTATTGTAATACAGACGTGGCATACAGTAGAATACAGTTTATCTTTCTTGGGTTAATTTCAGCTGGTAATACCCCCTTTACACTGGACGGCGTCCTTTCTGCGTCCTCTCTACGACCATGAAATTTGGCATCGCTGTGGTCTTAATAAGGAGGCACGAGCATTAATTTTGTATCAGAATGAATGCTCAATGATCGGCCAGTTGTCGGCACGTAAAGTATTATAATTCTTTTACTCTCAAATGGGGCCGTACTGCTGGACGCAGAAAGGACGCCGTCCAGTGTAAAGGGGGCTTAAGCTATTCATATTACTACACATGATCTGGTATTACTGTTTGATAGAATTTGGTTCTGCATGGTGCTTATGGTATAGCAATGCCAGTTCAGAGTATTTTAGAAATTTTGACCAATACATGCTTTTGTTACATGGACGAATAATGGAAATGACACGAGTCATTATGTATGAAACTGTACTATTGGTCAAATTTGTAGTTAAATTACAGTTATTGATATCTATTTAATGCTACTGCATTCAATTTCCAAAGGAGATGTCCATGAATAGTGTAAGTCATGTACAGCTTGTATTATTGATTCGTGTTGCTTTTATTTATTGTGTACAATACTAATGACATACACAGTCTCTGTTGTTTTGTTGTCAGCCCATCCCTTTCTTTGTAAATTTTTTTTCCTGAAAGCGCTCTGCTGCCTGGCAGGTGAGTTTTCTCAGAGGGGGAGCCGAATTTTGCCCTGGTCAGGTACGCAGGTGTAAAATTGGTCCTCGAATTCATTGCACAGGTATGACAAAATGGGAGTATTAAATATTATGTTCCTTATTGTGAATATTGTCTGTACAAATATTTTATTTTATTTGTGTGATAAATGTAAAAACTTGTAATTTTAGTCTTCAGTCTCACCTAGTCAGTATATTTCATAGTTTTGGTGCACAAATTGGCCCATTTATTCTCCTGAGAAAGAAGAAATTCACATTAGATTTTTGGTATTAGATTAACAGCCAAGTATCCCAGTATGAATCAGACATGATACTTTTTCCTTACTGAGTCCAAAAACTTTACCTAACAGCCTACCAAAATGGTATAATTTTATAAGGTCTCAGGTATCTTCCAGACGTAACTTAATTGTAAGACATATTATGCATGCTGAATTATCTTCTTTTTATTTCCTTTACAAAACGGAGTGCAGACCTTTCTTCTAATTGGATAAGTGATACCATATAAGTAACAATCTTTGTCATGTATTTATGTTATTCAGTATACCTACAATCCTTGGTAAAAATCAGTTGTCATATCTTGGGCTATTAAGCATCAACTTGTGAAATGGGCAATTTATGGAATAAATTATTGTTTTCTACCCAGAAAATTTTCTTCGAGTTTTTGGTGGAAAATCTGACATTAGACACCCCAGAGAAGTATTATCCTCCAGAACTGCTATTTGCGGAGATATTTCCATGATGCTTACACCATGTGTATTCCATTATAAATGACAATACACATGTTACAGTATAATAATGGGTTTACTATGTAATGCACAATATGAACGATGACAATGCAGCCATCTGTCGTTGTCTGTCTTATACATGATTTACAACCAATGCCAACTGAAAGTGTGCTATAAAACAACTACGCCTGGAGTAGCATGGAAATTCATGCGTTAGCACTCCTGTTGACAATTCTGGTTAGCACAGCCAATACATATCAATATCGTCAATAGGAGTACTAACAGTGAATTTTCTTGCTACGCCTAGAGATGCTGGCAACAATGTCATAAGATGTCTCCTTTGCACAATTTTGGGGTAAATTAAAAGACAAAGAGTGATCTGCAATGGCAAGTAAATGAATATGTTAATAATTCTGACCCAGGAAAGGAATTTATTAAGTAATTGCAGTAGTTGTGACAGCAAATGTCAGGAGAAGTCAGGTGAGGTGGTAGATTGTGATAGTTGTGCCACAGCATTATCACTGTGGTAGTTGTGACAGCAGGGAAATTTTTACCCCCCCCCCCCCCCCCCCCCATTATCATGCCTTTGATTTTGAACCCAATTATCATGGAAAATGGAAGAAAGTAACATAACTAGAGTCAAAACAAATGAAATATTACAGTAGTGTTACCTTGTGTCTTTTACAAACACAAATTTGGTCTTTTGTCACCAGATTACGATCTGTTCAGATGGGTCAAAATGGCCAGTGTACACATACTCCACAGGGACTCTCCCAAGTAGACTAATACCCCCTTTTGGTACAAGTAAAATACAGAAAACAGGCCTACCCATTTACCAGACTCGGCACTTACGGATCAAGAATAAACCGGTATATCAGACCACACTACCCGTTTTCAAGGTGTGTGTCAGATCGCATTACAGAGTATCATACCCCATCACAAATTTTGTAGGCCTACCTGTCATCCGGGTATCGTGCCTCGTTTTCGTCAAGTAGGACTCGTATGAATACAAAAATATATCCCAGTGGATATAAGAATATGAAGAACACATGCACACACACACACACATACATTTTTTGGATAGAGAGAGGGACAACTCTTCCATTATAACTGACTAATTTAAATGTCAGTTCAATATGATTGAATCAATGTTGAATCAAGGTGAAAAACTTACTCAAACATCAACATTCAAAAATGCAAGTTGAATTAAAGTTGAAATATTGTTGGTTTATCAACTCAATCTTACTTCAAACTTGAATCAATGTTGATTGATATGCCAACTTTGAATTTGTTGTCGTTGAATCAAAGGTGAATCAATGTTGAAATGTCAACGTTGAATTTGTTGTCGTTGAATCAAAGTTGAATCAATGTTGATATGCCAACGTTGAATTTGTTGTCGTTGAATCAACGTTGAATCAATGTTGTAATGTCAACGTTGAATTTGTTGTCGTTGAATCAACGTTGAAATGCCAATGTTGAATTATGGTCGTTGAATCAACATTGATTCAACGTTTATCAACGTCTCAACATAAATTCAACGTTGATTCAACGTTGAATCAACGTTGTGTGCCTGCTGGGATATAGTATGTACAAGGCACATAATTTTCTTTTATGATAAACTTCCTGCAAAAAATAAAAATGCCCCCACTTCTGAGGATGTTACCCCCATGCATATTTCCATCACCCCTGTTTATAAATGCTGATAAGGCAGTTTGTAATAAAATTCTCTCTCTCCAGCAGTTGTCTTGATATTAGTATAAACCAAAATTTAATTATATATTTCATGTCAGAAAACTATCTGGTGAGCTTGAAAGAAAATAAATCAAGCTATATACATGTAGCACCTGCCATACTACTATTTAAACCTATTAGTAATGCATAAATGTTTCAAAGCTTAAATATCATTGAAAATTAACTTGCCACGTATGAATGATAGACTTAATTTTTTTAATTCATGTGACATAACAGAGTTTTCTGATCCAAGATTATATTGAAAAAGTATAAGAATTATCTGTAACAATATTTGTGCTTCCAATTTGTCTACCAATTAAAGTAAAGAATACACAAATGTGATTTGACCACTGTTATAGGGAATTCTTGCACCACAAAACTGATAATTCTAGTTTTAAAAAGCTGTTGGTCCAACTATACTACAGAAGTCTGCATATATAAAAAGTAAATATAATATATCAATACAAATGACAGTAAGTTTTAAAAGGGAACTTGAGCTATTTTAAGTCTTTGGCACAGAGATATATAAAAACAACAAGTAAATCACAAAAAAATGGATAACTTATTCTCTCGTTGGCTTCCTCAAAAAGTTTTTAATTTTATTTCGATGTACGTCCATCTCCTAAAGTTCTAGATATAAATATAATTATTATACTTACATCTAAAGTTCTACACACAAATATCTACATGTACATAGAAATTTCCAAAAGGGACTTAACAATATTCACACTGTCAAGGTCATTTAAAGTCTTTGGCAAAGATGTGTTAACAGCATATGTAAATCACACACACACACACCAAAAAAAAAAAAAAAATTAATTAATTAATCAATACTAAATCTGTCAAGGCCCCATTAAGACCTTTATAATCAGTCAGAGACGCTAAACCCAAGAAGTTACAACTCCTTGCTAAACCAGACAACCAAGAAAAAGAGTCAGGATTATTCAATTTATTGATGCCGCAAAACGGATGAAAACACCTGCTCAGAGTTGAATAATTATGCCAAAGTCCACTCAGGCTTTAACTTTTGAGTGCATTTCACCATGATTCCCAACAAACTCATCACAATCAGGATATTCTCTGTTATTATCACTTCTAACTGATGTATGCAAACGATGTAACAGTTTTGTTAAGCGTACGCAGTAAAAATTGACCTCGACTGGCCGCGGGGACAACAAGCGTGTGCGAGGGGGGGGGGGGCGTTGAAATAAATTACAAAAAAAAAATATTTGCCCAAATTTGCCCAAAAATCTGAAATGTTGGTTAGAAACCTTAGTCCTTGTTCTTCTACATGGCATATATTTTGTCTTGCCGCCCTTTGCCGACTTCAAAAAATAAATCAGTTTAAAAGTTTGCTCTTAAACATTTTCACTTCTGACCTTTCGTAGATTGTGAAAACAATACCCAAAAGGAAGTAACAGCTGTTCTTTATCACGTGTTAAGGTAGGGTTGTTCCCGATGCAGTAGATGAGACACGCCGTGCATTGTAAGAGCGGGTTGAAATCTGATACTCTGGGGACAGTTTTAATGGCGCTTCGCGAAATAGAACAACTAACGCCACCTAGGGACGTCTGCGCTCGCATTATTAAATAAAATAAAATTAGCACTCCTATTGACGATTCTGATATGTACTGTCTCACGCTCGCGCACGCTGGATTGGATAGTAAACGATTGTCGTAAAATCGCTAAATGATATTAAAACCTGGTTTTAAATTATTTAAATTATTTTTGTTGAACCATCCTCCATTTGACCGTCTTCCGACAGAAAAAAAAAAGATAACAGTCAGTGCATGTACAGTAGGCTATCTGGGATGTAAACTTGAAAATCTCACCGTCTTCCGGAAGACCCAGAAGACGGCCTCAATTAATCCACCCCTGAAATATGTACTGGTACATGCCTTTTACTGCTTTTTCACTGTTGCTATGCTATCAAATTTTCTTTTACTGTTAACAGCGTTGTCCACGTGTAGGCTATAAAGGTGTCGTGAAATCTAAAAAAAAAATGTAATTTTAAGCAAATCAAATCATTTCACTGTCAGTAGTCAAATAATTTGAGAGTTGGGAAAAAGGATATAAACCAATGAGATCTAAGCAGCTCCATTTAATTATAAAAAAAATAATAATAATAAAATGTCCAAGGAATTAAAACAAGATTTCCAACAGTCCTTCAAAGATGAGCTAGGTGACTGGTCGTTTGGTGCAGTATTTAATTCAAAGAAAGTCTGGTTGCATGCTTCACTGTTCGAGCAACAGGTGTCTGCTTATAGCTATTTGAGCATTAATATATTGCAAGTTGCTTTTACTTATACTTTTTCTTGGCCTTAAAATGTAATAAATGTGCCCCTGTCAGCATAAGTAATACGAATATCATTTCAACACATAAGAAATAATGTACTGTGGCAAAAATAAGGACAAAGCAATTCTAAGACGAACGTGCAGGTAAGAGAGAGAGAGAGAGAGAGAGAGAGATGGAGTGAGATTCTGTGCTAGAGAACATGGTTGCTTGATAAACTGATTTCGTCTTACAGCTAGTGTATGTCCGAA